CGATTAAAAATTAATTAATTAACTAAATTAACCGAGTTAACTGAAATTATTACACATTAAATATATATTTTAAGCTCAAACTCATTAAAATTAAGACCTAATTATATTTTAATCCAAAAAATACTTCTATTATAGTTAAATTAATATAATTAAAAAATATTAAAAAATTTAATTAACTGACCGAAATAACTAAATTTTATTCAATTCGATTAATATTTTAAAAAATAAATTCAATAAGGTCAACGTCAAAGAAAAATTAAATTAATTAATTAATAAAAATTTAATTTGATCGATGTTCAAAATAAACGTTTCAACACAGCTAGACAGAATCATATTCTTATCTGAATTTGGTATAATTTCTGTGGAAGAGATAACCAAGAAGAGGTAACCATTGGATGTCACCACTACCTCTTATCCATAAACAGTACACGTCAGCTCAACCTGCAACAATAGGTCAAATTTCCCACCAATCCATCTCTACGTACACAAATTTCATATTTAATCATTATATTTTAATTTTATCACATTTATTTTAATTTTAATATTTTTTAAATTTTAATCTGAATCAAAATATATCTCTTAAATCTATTAAAATTAAATCTTGCTATCGGCTCATGTATCATACATGAATTTAGACTTATTTTTTATCTTTAATTCAATAATTTAAATTTATTATTTATATACTATTTGGATAAGATTTAAATTGATGAAATTAAAGTATATGGATTAAATTAATAATTTTTATATAGTTCACAACTAATGATGACATTTGAATAGTATACATCATACCTATATATTATATAAAACATCATATCTATGGTAATATAATAGGTAAATTATAAATTTGGTAATTGAATTTTATCCTCTCCTAGTTTATTTATTATTCTTTAAATCTTTTCAATTTTCTCACTAAACTTAATACATTATGTATTTTTATCACTCAACTGTTAAATAGTTAACAACATTAAAATGAGATGTTATATAGATACAAAACGATATCATTTTGTTGAATTTTTTGTTTTTTTTTAAACAACGTCATCTTTAACATTGTTAACTTATTAACTACGGAGTAACTAAAATAGAAGATAGAGTAAATTTCAATGACAAAAAAATTAATGTATTAAGTTTAGTGAGAAAATTAAATTTTTTAAAGTTAAGTGATCAAAATAAGAGATAGAGTAAAGTTTAGTGATAAAATTTGTAATTTACCCATACATAATATAGTAGATATGATATGATATGATATATATATTATATTTGTTATGATATAATATATATAATATATTATCTGTTTGGTTTAAAATGCAATAAGTCTGATGTCTGGTTCGCGTCTCCAATTCTTTATTAACATTTCCACTAGCTCTCCTCCATTTTCCTTCTCACTCAATCCTCCTCGTCCTTTTTCTTCGTTTTTGATTCCTTTTCAGCGAGTGAAGCTCTTTAGATCTACGGCCGAAGCAACTCTCTTCGTCACGGCTAAGGCAATGGCTGAGCTCGTTAAACACAAGGAATCTGGTGTCGCCGCCGCTGGTACCACCGAAGGCGGCAAGCTGGACGTTGAGCATTCTCGTACCTTCATTGATGCTCGCTCTGAGGAAGGTACGCTTTCTTTTTAAGGCTTAAGCTCTTTTTTTGGGGCTTTTTTTCTTTATTTGCAACTGTTACAGTAAATAAATCCGCGTGATTTCTTTTGTTTCTTGTTTATTCCGAAGAATGGATCAATCGAGGGGAAATATGAGGAGTGTTAATTAAATATGGATTGTGATGTTTAAAAAGGAATTTGTCATATTACTTGCGAACGTAGAATTCTTGTTCTAATTTGATTTGTGCAAAGATGACGTGGTTTCTAAACTGCTGTTTATTATCGAAAATATATGAAAATCTAAATTGCTTACGTTGTAAAAGCCGCCATTTAGGAAAGGTCCGATTCAGTATTTTTATTGATACTTGAATGAATTACGTTCGTGCAGCTATAAAATAATACTTATTTTTATGGGCTTCGTAGAAGATTGGAGTAAAACAATTTGATGCTGAATTATATGCAACATCGAAATGAATAGTTACACAGAAAATCGTTTCACGTGAGAATTTGCTTAGGAGTCTTTATTGATTTAAGAACATATGAAAGTGATGTTACTCAAGAGTAAGATGCTTGAACTTATTGGACTACGAGCTCTGTTATTGAAAAGAGCTGTTTATTTATTCAACAATCAATGCACTGCCCTGAGTAAGAACATATCTAGTATGAGAAAAGCTCATTTAGCCAAACTCTGTAAATTCTGCGTGAGTTAGTGTGAAAACTAAAACAGAACTTTGCATAAATCCAATTTTCAAGTTACGGCACAACTTCCCCAGATTTCTGTTAACACAATTGAGATAGATGGTGAACATATCCTGTTGACTGCTGAATGCTGCATGTATCTCGGATTCCTGATTGATGACCTTTGTTTCCTAAACCTACAGTGAGGAAAGATAACAGTGATTAGTGGAGCTAGAGTAAGGTTCATATAAACCTCATAAACCTGAAATGTTGATCAAGGACAAGTCTAATTCGACAACGATCATGAACGAGGAAATTTAGACTTTAGGAAACAAGACCTGGAGACTATCTATCTTTATTGGAAAATATAACTGAATAAGTTTTTATGGTTCCTACATAAGATGGACCAGTTCTTTGAGCAGAACATAAAGAAGGGGGACAAATTAGAGAGGGGGGCCAGTTCTTTGTATACACGTTCACTATAGTTCAAAATTTAAACTAGAGGTTGGTTTTTTCACTCATACTACTCATCTATCTACAGAAGTCCTATCTGGAATTAAGAAGGAAGTAGAAGTCGGAAGGCTACCACCAAATGTTGCAGCAGGAATGGAAGAATTCTTTTGGAATTATAAAAATGCTGTAAACTGCTAAACTCAAACTCCTAACTTTACTCACATTAATGTATGTTCTAGATACCATATGCTCTCTTCAGTACATGATCAACGCCCTTCGAAAATCTTGGTGGATTTTTTTTCTCACTATTGCGTATCTTTTGCATGTATATCTGAAAACTTACAAGGGAACATTTTTCGCTTGCGGCAACATTTAGGTTTTCCAAAGTAGAGATCCCGCCGCTGCTAAAATTGTGTTGTCGAACATGGCTGTTGCACTTGACCTTGTGCTTTTGGATGTAGAGGTAGTTATTCTAAAATGCTCTTTCAAGATGAATAAACAATTTGTAACTTTTATGAACTTCCTTGTTAAGATACTGCATTCAGATTATACGTTTTTATGAACTTCTGCATGGAATATGACTGTAGCTTTTCAGGATCCTTTTGTATTTCAACCCTACCACAAAGCTTTGCGGGAGCCATTTGACTACTACATGTTTGGTCAAAATTATATTCGGCCTTTGATTGATTTCAGGTGGGTGTACAAATACCACACAAGGATGCATTTGTTAATTCATATCAACTACATCATAACCTGTTAATTGTCATTCCTGTTATTCAAAATTATATTGTTCATATTCTAACTACGTACCCAAGGATGCATTTGTTACTTCTCTTAACATGTTTCTATTATATTAATTGCAGAAATTCATACGTCGGTAATCTCTTTCTTTTCTATGAAATAGAGGAGAAGCTTAAGCAGGTGACAGTGCTCAGTCTTTCCCCCCCTCATGGTTTCTACTTTCTTCTGCAATCACTTCTAAACATGACTGAATTTTGTTCAATCATTGCATTGCAGGGTCACAATGTTGTACTTATTTCGAACCATCAAACTGAAGCTGATCCGGCCGTCATTGCATTGTTGCTTGAGAAAACAAATCCGCACATTGCCGAGAACCTGGTGATTCCCCTCCCCCCCCCCAAAAAAAAAAAATCGATTCCAAGCATTCGGTAGTAGTCATTATCTCTATGTTTAAGCATAAATGATGTTCTATGTTGCAGATCTATGTTGCAGGGGATAGAGTCATAACAGACCCTCTTTGCAAGCCTTTCAGCATGGGAAGGTACTAAGATAGTTACTGATTTTCACTTGATTAGGCCAAGAACCACTAACCAAAAAAAATGTTTTACCAAATTTGTTTTAGAAACCTCATATGTGTGTACTCCAAAAAGCACATGTACGATGTTCCCGAGCTTGCTGATACGAAAAGAAAGGCAAACATACGAAGCTTAAAAGAGATGGCTATGCTGCTAAGGTACATTAATGCAATCTTCATATTAACAACCTTGAATCTGCATTGTGGTTTTTACAGCAAAAATATTGAACCTTAGACTTGAAATTGTGTATTCGTTATAGGACTGGCTCGAAATTAGTATGGATTGCACCAAGTGGTGGCAGGGACCGCCCGAATCCCGTTACGGAAGAATGGTATCCAGTAAGTTCTTACAGCCATTCTTTTTAACAGTTTCTGTTGTTTTTTCAAGAATTTCTAGTCATTAAGCGTGTGAATCAGGCACCCTTTGATTCTTCTTCTGTGGACAACATGAGAAGGCTGATAGAAAGTTCAGGTACTCCAGGGCATATGTATCCCTTGGCACTGTTGTGCCATGACATCATGCCCCCTCCATCTCAGGTGTGTAGGACAAATTTGCTCGTCGGTTTCTGTCGCAAACATTTACGTTTCCTCTCTTGATTCGATGGCGTTTTCCCTTTCAGGTAGAAAAAGAAATCGGAGAACAAAGAATCATAGCCTTCCATGGGACTGGACTATCAGTAGCTCCTGAAATTGCTGCTGCTGGGGAGAAGTCCGAAGAGGTCAGTTGCATGCATAACGCCATGACACACTTATATTACTCGAACGCTTCATTTTTATTTAAGTATTTGTGTTCGGCACACGGGGTCGGACGACTTTTTACATCCTGTATATGTACAGGTTAAGGATGCATATACACAAGCTTTGTACAAGTCCGTGACCGATCAGTACAATGTGCTCAAATCTGCCATACATGGAGAACAAGGGTTAGAAGCATCGACTGAAGGTGTCGCTTTGTCGCAGACACGGAACTAGTACGGTATGTATTTGGCGTTAAGAGTCCGTCCAATAATTATTCATTTTCTTCTAATGTAATGTATTGACAAAGAATCTTATTTTAATTCTGGTTGACATTAGGTCTTGGATTCAATCCCGAATCATAAAATGTTGTAAAATTACAGCACCCAAACATCGATTAAAATGAGTACTTATTCGAAGATGAGAAAAAACTATATCTAAACACATAAGCAATTTCTCGGGAACCCGAAAAGCAGTCAACAAGAACGATCATCCATCGCCGGCCGGTAACAACAGTACCGAATGTAACCTACTTATGTCATAGTACCCATGCACTGAAGACCATAGCGAAGGTGTTAAAACAAATGACATTAATGCGAATATTGAATATTTCGTCCTGTACTTGAAAGGTATATATATGCGAATTATTCCGAGTTTAATTGTAATCAAGATTCGACACCAGGCTTTAGATCCCGGATGCATTACCTTCTTCGAGGAGATTCAATAAGTTACGCTCCGGGGCACTTACAGATGGTAAAATCAAGCGGCTTGATGAGTGGGTTGGGGTTTCATTCCGGTAGCCTTGGATTCAAGGGTGTCTCCATCCTTTATAACCGGCAACTCGACTCTCCTTACGTTAGCCGACACTTGCTCCTTCCAGATGCTTCCATTCTGATGACAGAAAAGCAGTATATGAAATTTCGATTTAAACCGACGAGAAATTCTTAAGAAATGGTTTGTACAACTCCGGACCGCTGACATATGAAAAGAATGAAGAGGACAATTGACATTAACCTGTGGGAATAAGGCCTGAAAATAATATGAATCTCGCTAACTGAAACAAGGCCCTTTTTCATCATGGGACTACATAATAGTCACGCGAAGGAATCGTTTTCTTCGCACCACCATCAGCAGCGGTTACATTAATAGGTACGCTAGCCATATTTTGATGTATCGAGAATAAAATTCTTCAGCCATCGCTAACTTTATTTCCTAAACTAATGCAATCCATAGCAAAGAACGCGGTTATGAAGCTAGACACAAAAGGCAAGAAGTCTCAGATGATTACGTTTAGAATTGAAGGTTCAGGTAGGGGGGCACTGATCATCCGATCACTGTCCAAAGGCTCGATCGGGCGTTCAAACGGCTTAAACTCAACTGCTACCTCAATTCCATGTGCAGTGGCCGTCGCACTAGCAGCATCAGCTGTAGCGGCTACATCCGGATTCGGGGGCATAACATATCTTTCATCTTGCACCTCCAATGGGAAAATCATCAGTCATATCCAACAAGAATTAAACTACTCAAATCATAGGCAAAAGCAAACATCAAGTTTCAGCAAGATCAGGCATAAACCGAAATCGTAAAAAAAACTCGTTGTTAAGACTAGGAACTCGATAATCAGACCAGAAACAAGCTTTCACATAATTATTTTGCAACATCAAGAAATTCAAGTAACATGAATTGAATAACAAAAAGAACCCAAAATTCCAAAACCATATACGGATTATCCCAAAACAGGTTATTAATAAAAGAAATCTGGGTTTGCTCAAATTGATAAATTTCTAGGTTTCAATTGCAGAACCACTTCCTCTTTGTATTCATCAAATTACACATACGGCACATGATGACTGAATTCTATTAAGAAAACCCAAAATCCAGGCAACAAAATTACCAAATAATCAGATCGTATGAAAAGGTCAATCCAAAAAAAAACCAATCAAAGATGAACCATCAATGAACTCATCCAAAAGAAGAAAGACCCAACAATACCAAAAAAGAAAAAAAAATTATAGATTCAGATGCTACAGAGTCAGTTCAAAATTATAGAAACTTCTTACGAGGGAAGCGTCGATGGGCGGACCTGCCAACAGAAAATCTGGAGAAAATCCCAACCATGGTTTTTGCTAGTGGGTAATCGTTGATATAATATACTTAGCATTTAGAGTAGCTGTGGACCTAGCTAAGGTGATAAGGTCAGCTTAGTTGTTATCCCTCTTTTCTTTCTCTCGTAATCTTCTTGTTCACTGTAACATGTTTTTTTTCCCTTTCTAAACAGGAATTTGCTGCACTTACAGGAAGATAATAAGAACAGGGATTTCGGTTCGGTTTTAGTTTGTTTTCCCATAAATGGTTCTTGTCTGCTTTGATAGATTTATTATTTCAAATGTGGGAAAAAATACTTGAACCAATGCCCCTATTGTTGTTAATTAATCGTTTTAGGCAAAAAGGTATAGGTCCCTATACTTTTGAAAAAAATTAATATGATCCTTATATTATTTTAGCTCTCTCAATGTGGCCATTAAACTCATAAAACAAATCTAATGTGATCTCTGACCAATGTTTTTCCGTCGTTGACGTTACCGTTCTGACATGGGATCCACGATGCTGACATGGTTGTCCATTTATCATATTTGAGTTATCAATTTAGTATATCTATCATATCATTCGCCATGTTGCTAACCACACGTCAATACTGTGAACCATTACGTCAACACCGTAACAGTCAACAACGAAAAACGTTAGTCAAAGGGTCACATTGGGTTTATTTTTTGAGTTGGATGGCCACATTGAGAGAGAAAATAATACAAGGACCACTCTGATTTTTATTCACAAATATAAGGACCTCTGATGCATTTTTACCTTTAAGTTATGTTCTTTTCCAATCACAAGTTAACTTGTAGGGTAAACCACCCATCTATTGCTTAATTTCGGTTCTGATCACCCAAATATTTTTTTCAAAATACGTTTTGATTCTGTATTTTACTATATAAGCATGATTAAATATAACACGATTGAGTCGCATCAACTAATTAATACATGTAAGTAAATCAACAACCATAATCAAGAAGCTTCAAATTACACTATCCGACATACACTTTAATCATAAAATCGATATTTTCTTTTCATAAATTAATTTTTTTTAAGCCATCCAACAGATAAGCTTCGGGTGCAGTTGCCTGCCAGGCTCCACTGGCTATCATTGTTGCTTCTACATAATGGGTTTTCTCTTCTTATAGAATGAGGATTCAAGTCTCAAGCCTACAACTCTGGGTTTATTTTTATTACTTACACAGCCATTTATTACTTTTGCTTCCCTTTTTTTTTTTTTTTGTTGATAAAAATACACTAAAGGTCAATGAAGTATGTAAAAAAATGATCTTTTCGGTCAAAGATCTTTCAAATGTTACAAAATAGTCATTGAACTTCTTAAACAGTTACAAAATGATCCCTTGCAACGTAAAAATAGCAATAAATCTCAAGAAGCTTAAGGACTATTCTGTAACCGTTTGATAAATGTTAATGACCATTTTGTAACATTTAAAAGGTAGCTGATTCAAAAAGATCATTTCTACATAGTTAAGTGACCTCTAGTGTACTTTACCCATTTTTTAAATCCTTCTCAGGATCTCCAGCCACTGTATGCTTAGCCGGGGACTATGATGGATTCAATGAGCTCCTGAAGAGGAGCTAGCTCTTTCTTGTCGATCAGCCCGAACTCCTGCCGATGCAAAAAACCGCTAACTGAATAAAACAAACGACAGACTTTCTAATTGACCACGCATATTCTTGCATTCGAGGATGAACGAACAAACGAATCCTTGTACACTACTGCTTCAAAAATAAATAAGCAGACAGAATATTAACTATTAAGCAGCAGAAGAGAACTCACAGAAGTAAACAGTATGAAATGCTTGAAGCATGTGTTCAAATGGGCTTCTTCCTTGAGGCTCACGATTTCTGGAAGTGCAATCACGACCTCCTTGAAGTTGGGAGGGAACCGTGCACCTAGCGAATTCGGAATATACAGTTAAAACATTGACAAAGCATTTAGCATGACACAATAGAATTTAAGAGGATTAAGCGCGTTAATGATGAACATTTTACCAAGCTTTTGAGGAAAAATGGATTCATCATCAAGCTGAGATTCGATCCAGTCCATTAAATATTCGACGTATTTTGGGGCAGAAACCTCTATAGGTTTCTTGATCTGCACACCATCCGCCCATCTATATTCATACCTATAAAGTTTTGTCAGGCAGCAAATAATCAAACTCCAGAAAAACCAAGATATCCACTCTGGAAGAATTTTAAAAAAGTAGAATATCAATGCGTTCTGCAGGTAACTATGGAATTGTTAAATAGAATGATGAGAAAGCATAAGGTACAAGAACCAAACACGAAAACAAACAAAAAATGCAGTGGTAGGGGAGGAGGATATAAGTTTCATTGTTACATTCTGCACAAGATAGAAATACTTTAGCAAGATACTCTTTTATTACTGAAACTGAACTAATGCAATATTTGTGCATGTTTCAAAGCGATAAAGAGCCATGACAGGGTGAGTCCCAATTATCATTTGATAGAAATACTCTTGATACCATCAAAAGAACCAAACATGACAGGGTCATACAGGCAGCGATGGAAATTTTAAGATTTAGGGTTTGTACTATTAATATATTGAGAAGGGTAAGAAGAATCGGGTTTGATATGTCAGACTTATGGCCTGCAGTCATTGTAGGACAGTTCTCTGCGGTGCAAAACTCTGTAAGGGTACCATAGAGCAGATTCACCTGATTGAAGAAATCTACAGCTGAAAAGGATCCAACAATTATATTTAAGCAACGAGCTTCAAAGAAATCAGACAGTTGCCAAAAAAGGGGAAAGAAAATGTACTAAAAGATTCTATAAAAGATCAGCTAATAAATTAGCAGTTATGAAAGTAAATTACAGCATGGCCACACAATTCGAATATTCATGGATAATTACACATATTCAAAAAAATACATCTATCAGGAATAATTCTGAATTTTTGCAGGCGTGTGCAGGGTGTGTAAGTAAGAAAGAAAGAAAAAGAGGGAGCAAGAGATACTGTTGACAGCGAGCCATTCATTTAAATCCTCCCCAGGAGGTAGCCTTACTGCTTCCCTTAGGTTTCCACTGCCCAGGGTAGAATCAATGTGTTGCATAAGCTGTGCACCCTGCATTATGTTGTTACGGTACTTGTATGAGAATTGCAAATTCTTCTAAGCTACTAATATAGCAGAATGAAGTCCAGAAAATATTTATATAAAAGCATTATAAAGAAACCAGCTCTGAAGAAATGGAGAGAAACCTTTAAAAGGTTAAACAATCATTGTTAAGCTCAACACCCAGCAGAACTAACCATGTTTAGAGGTAGATCCACAATTAATAAAAAAAATACCACATATAGTACGCGTATACAAGACCCTCAAATATCCATGAGTTGGTCAAACATGTGAGTCTGTAGAACCGTCATGCATGTCAGCGGAGCATTGAAATCTGTAATTTGTTTTTTTAAGTATAGCATCATAACGTAAACTTGTTTCTTGAACAAGTGACTTCAAAAGCAATGAAAATTTTCAAATAGAAATATTAATGGTGAAAGCTATTTTCTTCTTTTCCCCTATTGACATGGCTAAGTGAATTATTGCTTTACAAATATAAATAACAAGTTGCAGAATTAATGGAAACCATTTAAGTAGTTAAAATGCCAAGTAAAAGGGCCAGAAAGCAATTAAATTGAGGATTCTGGAGCTTCTCTTAGTTTTCTTAACAAATAAATACTAGATCTTTGCAGTTAAGTTGTGCTTGTTTTCTTTTAGTTTCTGGAAAATTTGTAGCGTACTTCCAGTGTGCTAAAGCTGCAAATTCACAATCAAGAAATTCTTAGTAAAAAAATTGGATACAATTTATTTACCAAGGGGAATACTTGGAAAGGTGATCAGTGGTCACATGAACAATCCAACGGGATTCAAACACAATAAGAGGGAACAAGCAGAGACGAAAAATATTAATTATTTTTTATTAGAAAAAGGAACAAAAATAACCAACCTTACTTCCTGAGGGTGCACTTTTTTTGGGGCGAAATGTTGGCTGATTTCTGTTTTTAGAGCAATCTATTATCAGGAAAATTGTTAACCGAGAAGATACATAAATGGTAAACAGTTATACTGCTCAGGTATGGGAGTGGCAGTAAGAAATACACACATTCGACATAGGTAAGTTCAATTTGTCAAAATTTGTGTCATAGGATATAACAAAAAAAGCTTGCGTACATAGAAGGTATTTCATTAGTGTACAGCATGATAAATCAGGATAAAGATTCAAAGCAACATAGTTCAGAGGCATTCAAACTAAGCAGAGTATCAAATTGATTTTTAACAAAATAGAAAAACAATATTTACAAGAATTGGGGGAAAAACACTCTTTTTATGGCTTGAAATACTAATCACACATAAATGGACACATAAAGCATGACCATACACAGAGCCCCTGTCTAACTGAAAACTATGGAAGATCTTAAGCATTCATTCAACCTGATTAATAAATATTTTTGACAAACTTATTAGTTTCTCCTAGACTATACTTGTTCCTATTAATTTTCTCCTAGTTTATTCAACTTTCAATTAATGATCACGATTAACCTGTTATAAGTCGAGAATCTTTGAGAAGCTATAATAATGAAAAGATCAACTAAGAACAGCCAATTGCTCGAAGAAAACAATAGTATTTCAGATAAGTATACCAGATAAATAAAGGAACCAGAAGGCAAATTAGGAAGATTAACAATTTGCTTGTTATCATTAAGAAGATATGAGAAATAAAATTAAGCTTTGAAAAATAAATATTTTGAACTAATTCACCTATGTATCACATTTTATCTCATATTTTGAACTAATTCACATTTTCTTTACTATCAAACACACTCAAAATTTATCTCCTCCCTCCATCTTTCCATTCTTTCACCCAACCAAACAAACGTAAATGTTCTTTTTCCAGAAGTTTAAATAAACATAATGACGGCGAACTAGATGAGTTGATCGCTGATCTTAAATCAAGGAAAAAAAAGGCAATACGATTACAACGGATCTAACATAATCTAGAAAAACATGCATGGAATGACAATAACAAATTAACAATAATCAATTAATATTAAGGAGAAAATAAAAGAGGTGAAAATTGTGAGTCACCTGCCCAGACCGAAGAGACTCATGGTTTAGAGAGTTAGAGAGGATTCGGATTTTTCCTTTCTTCAGGTGGAAAGGCCTTTTCTTTTGTCACCTTTCCTTTTTCTTTTACTATTTTTCTCTAAATTTACAATGTATTTACTATTCCTTTGCGTAATCTTGTAATTTTTCATGTTGCTATAAAACTAAGGGTAAATTCCGTAAGATACCATTCCATTTTAGGGATTGTATCATCCGTACCATCAATTTTTAATCACATCAATTATAGTACTAAATTTTTGTTCTAGGTTCAATTATACCACTGAGACGGCTGCTGATATAGATATCACACTGAAATTACGTTATTTTGGGTATCAAAATGACGTTATTTTTATGTGAGGGATGAACGTACATTGTGGTTTGGTATAATGATAGTTTAGGTCCTTTTTATTTTAAATATTAGTTCAATAATCTTTTATTCCTCTCAAATTTTAAATTTATATACTTAATAGATTCTTGTTCTTTTGATATAAAACAATCGGGTAAACTATGCGTATAGTCCCCTTTTTTGTTGGTCTGACCAACTTTGGTCACAATTTAAAAATAAAGGGTACATGTCTCTAACGTTATCGATCCGTTTGATTTTAGTCCCTCAGTCGTTAACTCTCGTTCGATTTTAGTCCCTCATTTGTCACATATTCGATTTTAGTCCCTCAGCTGTGTCACATATTCGATTTTTGTCCCTCAGTTGTGTCACTTATTCGTTAAGAGTTAACAATAGAGGGACTTAAACCATACCGGGCGATAATGTTAGGACCATTTACCCTTAATTTTAAAATTGTGACCAAAGTCAGCCATACCCTAAATAAAAAAAAAAGACTATTCACATAGTTTACCCAAAACAGTTTTACCTCTTAATATTGATCCTAACTTCATCCCTGCATGATCACGTCTTTACCGAGTTGACAATCAAATGCTATAATTGAAACTAAAATAAAAATTCAATATTATAATTGAATCAATTTAAAATTTAATTATACAAATGATATATTATCTAAAGCTGAGTGATCCACGATATAATTTTCCAAATTAAATAGTTTATAATCAATGATAGATCAAGAGGTTGCGGTCTCCCCAAAAAAATTTAAAATTCCTTATATTTTAGATATTTTCTTTAAATTTTATATGAATTATTTAATTTCACACCTCTAAGATTTTATAATCTCACCCTCTGAAGTTTCAATATAATCTTTTATATTCACACCCTTATACAAATTCCTGCGTCTGTCGCTACATACAATATCTATCGAAATGCTATAAATTAATCTTATTTGTGAGGAAAAATAATTCCGACACTAATATGTAATATAATATTTAAGCAGAAAATTCAATAATCATGTTAGTGACCACGAGCACCATTAAAATGATGATAAGTTATTAAAAACATAAATGGAATATATTCGACATTTAAGCAGAAAAGGTAATTTCAAATGATGGAATGAACGTGACGGAACAAGCGTTCATCAGACCGACTCGATATACTCTCCGGTCCGAGCAAATCGGTGCAAAAATCCCTAGCCATGCCATACAAGGAGGGGAACCAAGAACAGTGATCAAATATAGCAGCTAGTAAAGTTGATTCAAAGGAGTTGGATGTTGATACATTCCATCAAAACAGCACCAAAACACATACACCAACGTTGATGAATATATGCCATCAGACGCAAAGAGGCTGCACCCATTTTTGCTGCGCCTGTTGCGCACATCCTGTATTCATGCACAGGACGGCTAAATCTGCTACCGCCACTTTTTTTCCGATAACGATATGAGCTGCAAAAGAGTACACGACAGACAAATATTCGGTATTACGGTAAACGGAACCAACTGTAGCTTTTCTGAACAGAAATCAAAGGAGAATGCAGCTCAAGAATTTTGCATGCGACATGCGAACATGTGCACACTGGAGATAATAACAGATCAGTCTATGTGACTCGGATATTTGATGTTAAGGATGATGCAGGAAGTTCGAAACTTTGTTTTAATCGACACAGATTGACCAACCAGTTCTGTAAGTCTCTTAAGCAACCAACTCGCTTACAAAAACAGAGAAAAATATGTCCTTTACGTTAAGCTGAAAGTGATAAGAATTAAAAGTATGACAATTGATAACCAACCTGGCGAGCCACCTGTGCTAGTCGTCGACTGTCTCGAGATGATTCAGCTATCAATGATGATTTTTCGGAGTCTAGAGAACCATTTCGTTTATCCTTCTTCTTTTTGGAAGTGTCCTCATCGAGTGAGCAATCTCTGTCGGGGCTGCTCAAAGAATCCTTCTTCCTCTTTCTTTGGAAAGTGTACATTAGAAACTTATTATTTACCCGTTGAGGAGAAGACCCTTCAGTTACTTCAGACACTTTAAATTCGGGTTTACAGCTAAGATGTCAACCATCTCGAGCTCCAGTTTGCAAGATGCAACCCCTAATTTCTCAGCGAATCCACTGTCCGGACCTGTCAACTCTTTCTTGTCTGTCAGCAATTCATCATTGTCTTTGCCATTACGGAGATCACAACTTTAACAAACTTTGAATCATCCTTGTCAACTTTTTCATATCCCAATTCAGTAACTACTTCCACTACACTTGAAGGTGAACGAGGGATGGAAGGAGAACGAGAACCCCGTGAAGCATCATGATTGATGATCCTAGAATCTTCCCCCAATCGAGCATTCTCATCAGCGGCATGTGAAGAACTTTCAGGGCACAGTAGATTATATTCTTGGCATGTTGCTACAAACTGATCAGGCATATCCTTAGGCGAGGGAGCTCTATTTTTCTTATATCTAGCAGCTCTTTTCCTTTTCCTACGAAAAGGACTAATGGGTAGTGATTGAATGATGTTATGAACATCAGTTTGCATCACTTTGAACTCATCTATATTTTCCTCTGGTCGAGAACCATTTGTGTGCATATCTTTCCCTTCTTCATGTTCTGAAGGGTCTTGTTCTTTGCATCATCTACTTGCTCGGAAAGAGAATTTTCATTCAACAGACACCTTTCCAGTGCAGAATCCTCTGAGTGCACCCATTTCTATACAGATCAGGCTCTTTCGTCTCATTACTATGGAGGCGAAATCAGGGTTACAAACGTAGCAATTGTCCTTACAAGAACACTTAATACCCAAATTTGTTGAACTCTTGATGTCAGAAACTGTCACGATGTTGGTTTGTGTACCGAGTTGGGAAGATATGACAGACCCAGAATTGCTGATTGTATTTCCATTTGATATTTTCTCACAAGCAGCAACATCATGTTCTGAGTTGTGTTCGCCCGAACACCGCATCGGATTTTTGGTCAGCCTCTCCAACTCATCTTGTGTTTCTCTCAATTCTGCTCGAAGATCTCTAACAATATCCTCAGCTTCCCCCAGTTGTGCTTCAAGCTCTTCAATTATTTTCTGTTGATTCAAGGACATCGTCTCCGCTTCGTTAACCTACAATCATGGCACGGACGGCAAGTACTGTAAGAATTGGCTTGATGGACCGACTACTCATCTACAAAGGTTTGAGCTTATCTATGTCAAATGTATCCCACAGTTATAGTTGAGTTTGAGTGATAGGGCACAAGATACGCGACAAACAGATCACCAATATAAAACATGAAAAAACAATGTCGATTGTCTTCTCGAATCTACTTGAACTAATAGCCACCCTACTTTCATTGGGCGGTTCTAATGTGCATAAACCAGTGGGTTTTCATGAATGGATGCATTTTTCTCACCCTGTAAAGCTTAGGGGTTTAAGAAAAAACCAGTTAGTGCATAACACGATAACCTCCCATCAAAGCAACACATTGAAAGCAAAGCAAACAGATTTGTTAACGGAAAAAAATCGTATAACGAAAAGGCAATCCCGATTCATGAATTGCATTCTTTCGAGCTCACTACGCCATGTGTATCGTTCATAATGCTTGGAACGATGAGCAATCTAATAAAATAGATGAACTAGCATAACATATTTAATGCAATGCAATCAACTAGACAAACTGAAACAAAAGGCAACCAAACAAAGAGATCAAGAATCAAAAACATCAACAGCCAAAGAAACAGATATCCGGAGGAGACCGACATTAGCAAGACAGTTAACGAATCGAAATAATAACATCGGGCCGAAACATCATCAGACACAAACGAAAATAAAGAAACAAAGACCAAACAGCTACCTTAGCATCCAACATCTGTTTCAACCTAACCAACATATGCAATGCCTCGTCTTTGGTCGCGAAAAGCTCCTGCTGGTACCGGTGAGCCTTCCTTTCCGACACCATTATCCTCGCCGCCGCCTCTTTAGCCGTGTTCAAAACTATCTCGGCATAAGCCTTTTTCAAAGCCGTCAATTTCTGCTCAAAACACAAAATACCCAGAAATCACCAAAGAACCCACATCAAAGATAAAAATCAACTCCTTTAAAAAATCCAAAAACTAAAACATACTAAAAAAACATTCAAAATTCGTTCTTTAAAAAAAAGTACAAAAGCTAGATTATGCAGAAGGGTAGTGGAGTTACTTTACCTCTGAATCGGTCATTGTAGCAACTAATGTAACGAACTTATTATGCGTCGTTTCGGACCAAATTGGGAAGAAGAAGAAGAAGAGGACGACTACAGAAGAAAAGGGACGTTTGTTTGGTTTTAGTTTTTTGTTTCCCTTCCCTTGTAGCAGCCGTCAGTTGGGAACTGAAAGTCCTTCGCTTTATTACCGAACTACCCTCACCTGTCCTTTTTATTTACCAACACACCACTTCAGCTGACATAACGGTTGAACCGGTGCGGTTTATCAGACCAGACCAATTGTTTTCCGTTTTTTGTTTGTTCTGTCTGACAATCGGCGCGCGCCAACGAGTAGGGCCCACATCTGGGGAATTCGTATGACGTGGATGAACCATATTTGAACACGTGTCTAAAAACGTAATGCGGGGTTTTGCGTTGGGAAGTGCGAGCAATTTGAGGGATGCGTTCAGTAGATAATATTATTTAATTTAATTTTCCTTTTCTGGTTTGATATTTTTTTATGATTATTATTTAATATATAAATTAATATATCATTAATAAAAACAGTTTTACTATTTTTTATATCCAAAGAACATTTTGATTTTTTAAATTTTGATGTATATCATTATAGAAAAATAACATGTTTACAAGACCACTAAGTTATGTGATTCTGATTAGTAAATAAAAAATAGTCACGTATATTATTAAATTATTAATTTAAATTTAATCAAGTCGTCGATTAATAATTATTTTTAAATAATTTCAAGTGATTAAAGGAAATATTTATTCAATTTTTTTAATCTATTGATAATGTATACGTCCTATAATCTTTACGAAAACTTATGTCAGTTACAGTTTAACCTAAGTTAATTCATTGATAGTAATGAATAAATAATATGCTTTGTTCAATGATTAAACGCGACTTAAATCTTTTGATTTATTTTTCTTATTTTTATTAATAAGATGATGATATATATTATCTTTCTATAATCTTATTAAAATATTAAATTTATTAAAACATCTCTAATTAAAATTTTAATCAAAATAATAACATGTATACATAATAATAATTAAATATGTTATTATATAAATGTATTTAACTACTACATCAATAATTCCGTTATTAATACCAACAATCAGTTGGTCTAATGAGATGAGACACTAGATCATTTATACAAGGTCAGGGGTTCAAATTTTGACCATTGCAAATGAAGTAAAATGGGTTGGGAATGTTGCCTTTCAGTACTTGATCCAAATCAGTTGATTAATAGATCGGATATTGATGGTTATAAAAAAAATAATTTTGTTATAAGTTAATTTTATTTTACTCAATGGTTCAAATAAAACCGATCTCATAATAGCGACCTCAAAAATTGTTTACCCTAAAACACCAACAATAGTAAGGGCTCATGCACCGAAGAAATGCAAGATGAAAGAAAGAGGCCTAGAACGAAGCCAAACAAGACCAGCCCACGATAATCCTGAACCCATACAACCAATTGCCAATGCTGGAAAGAAGGATCGGAGAGGTGACCAAAAAGGGGAATTGACGACTAAGGGATTATAATCGAATAGATTTATAATATAAGGGATTAAAAGTATATTTTTGAATTGGTGACCAAAATTGAACAAATGAAAAACATAAGGACCGCCCATATAATTTACCCTATAAAATTTACATAACTTACATATTCTTTTCATTAAAACTCAATGATATTAATTTGAAAAACTAATTGAGTTATTTTGATTGTATTATTCAATTGAATAAAGCCAAAAATAGAATATAGGTTAAACTACACGTTTAACATATAAACTATTGCTTTTATTTCATTTTGGTATCTAAACTTTTAGTTTTTTTCAAAACTATATATAATGTTTTTTTTTCGTTTTGATACCTCGTCATTAAAAACTTTCTTAAAAACTTAACGAAACTGTTGTAAATGTAACTTTTTTATGGGCAAATTACATCATTCATCACTTATGTGTCTTCTCACTACTATTTTGGTTACTGAAGTTTCATTTTTTAATTACTTAACTTTCAAATTACTAATAACTTAATCACTCTAACTTTCAAGTTTAGTTTTTTTTCATTTTAATTATATATTAATAAAATAATAACACAAAATTATTGTCAAGAAAATATTAATAAAATAAATTAGAGTGATTAAAACATGAACAATTTGAAAGTTTAGTAATTAAATTAAAAAAATTAAAATTTAGTGACCAAATAGGAGCGAGAAGATAGTTGAGTGATGGGTGATGTAATTCATTCATAAAAGCATTAAGTATAGTAGTTTCGTTAAGTTTTTAACAGGGGTACCAACATGAAATCTAAATTAAACATTATATATGGTTTTGAAAAAAAAAGATTAGAAACCAAAATGAAACAAAAGTAATAGTTGAGGTACTAAATGTACAATTTACCCTATATTATCACCTCTATTAAAGAAACTAAAGACAAAGAAATATAGGGTAAATTATGCGTTTAGTACCTAAACTATCGAGTTTTGTTCCGTTTAGTAACTAAACTTTCAATTTTTCAAAATCATACCTAAATTTAGCTTATGTTTCATTTAGTACATCTGTTCAAAATTAAGCATTAAGTCCTTCAAAAATATTGAAGTTTAGGTAATAAAACAGGCAAAAACTAATAGTTTATGTACTAAATGCGTTAAGTTTTTAAATGAGGATGCCAAAATGAAACAAAAACTAAATATTATATATGGTTTTGAAAATTTTAAAATTTAGGTATTAAAATAACTAAACCTGATAGTTTAAGTACTAAATGCGTAGTTTACCCAAAATATAAAGAAAGGAAGGGATAAATTTTAATAATAACAACGCACTATTATGTTGTCGATAAATAAAAAAGCCCACTTCCTTATCTTTTTGGAGACAGGACACGACAACCAACCATAATACGCCACGTATTTTCGCACATCGAAAACAGTCACCACAACGTGATGCCACCTCACCCTTGTCCTTTAAGTATCTCTCGGGCGAATTTGCAAGTCCTTCAAATATACTTAAATAATCATTTTGACAATCAAATTCTTAAAGTTTTAAAATATTTATTAAAGTTTTTAACTGTTATAAAACGATCATCATAACGCTAATTGTTGTTAGGTAGGAGATAGACAATTAGCTTGATATTTTATGCCTTTTACTCTTTTTCTGGATAAATCGTAATTTTATATCTAAAAGAAGCAATAAGCTGTTATAAGAATATAAAAATATTAAAAAAACAATACTCGATCCAATAAGTCATAAACTATACAAAAATTAATCAACACTCGACTCGACTCAATATTCACACCACAGACACATTCAATGTCCACCATCATACTCATCTTCAATAAACGATCATCTTAGATTAATATACAATACATTTCACTAACTAGTTTGTATCTAAAACTAAGGGTAAAGTATATAAATGGTCCTCGACTATAGGCTTTATTAAGTCTCTTTACTATTAAAAGTTATAAAATGATCATTGGACTATATAATGTTATTTTGTTAAGTTCTGCGACTATTAAAAGTTATAAAATGATCAATCGACTATTCATTATGTTCAAAACTCATCATTTTTTGTTAAAAATTTGACGAATGCTTAAGTTAGACGCCAACATAATGATTAAAATATAATAATCATTTAAGATTCTGTGATCAAATTTTATCATATCACAGTTAGCAGGTTAACGTGCAGCTCATAATATCATCAATTTTTAATCGAAAAAGACGAAATTAGAACATAATGAATAATCATTTGATCATTTTACAACTTTTAATAGTCGCAGGACTTAACAAAGTAACATTATATAGTAAAATGATCATTTTGTAACTTTTAATAGTTGAGAGACTTAATAAAGTAATATCCTATAATAGGGGACCATTTGCATACTTTACCCAAAATTAAATGATATTTTTATAAATTTAAAAAATTAGTGGTTAAAAAAATTATTTGAATATAATTTATTGACCTGCGGTGTGCTTTACTCTATTATATATTTATGTTTTCGCCCACGCGACTTCGGTATCTGCTTTTTATCATTTTTATGTCATTTGTAACCAAAAGATTCTTTCGCAACGAAAAATCGAGGGGGGAAAAAAAGACATGGGGATGCCGCCTGCCAAGTGCGACTCCGCCTCTGCATCCACCGTGAACGGCGGTGGAGTTGGAGAGATCATGCTTTTTGGAGTCAGAGTGGTGGTTGATTCCATGAGGAAAAGTGTTAGTATGAACAATCTTTCTCAGTACGAACAGCCTCATGAATCGAACAATAATTGCAACAAGAACAACAAAGATCAAGGCGATGATAACCTCAACGCCGGATACGCCTCCGCCGATGACGCCGTTCCCCACACCACCGGAAATCGCGAGCGCAAACGAGGTTTATACATATATATATATATTTTTATCGTTACCTTTTTGTCTTCTTTTGATTTTAAGTTTCTGTTTTGTTTTAATTTTGATTTTTTTTTGGAAAATGAAATTTAGGAGTGCCGTGGACGGAGGAAGAGCACAAGCTGTTTCTGGTTGGACTGCAAAAAGTAGGAAAAGGGGATTGGAGGGGAATATCTAGAAATTTCGTGAAGACTCGTACGCCGACACAAGTGGCGAGCCATGCTCAGAAATATTTTCTCCGGCGAAGCAATCTCAACCGCCGCCGTCGTAGATCTAGCCTCTTCGATATCACCACCGATACGGTATTGGTTATTACTATTCCTTTTTCAACATTTCCCCTTCTTTGTTTTGCTTGGAAAAGTGACGAATCTAAAAAAAAAGTCTGATCGGTTGAATCATAAGGCTTTGACTCCTGACATTTGATCAGGAAAACCAATTTGTTGATTTATTCTAGCTTCTTTTTGGCTAGTTTTCCCATTTATGCTATTGGATTTGTTTAACAAAATTTAACTTAACGTGGATAAGATATTTGTATTAATTTCTTCAGTAAACATAATAATAAATTGATGAATGAAATATTCTCATAGTTCACTGGCCATTATGTTGACCTTTCCATTTGCTACTGTTTCGTTAGGTACAGGCAATTCCAAAGGAAGAAGAGCGAGTCGATCAGCAAGAGAACACAACTCAGCTATCTGAGGCCAATGGGATTCCCATGATGCCGGATGCTTTTCCCATGGCTTTTAATCCGCTAATTCAACCGTTTCTGACTGAGAATCCGACTGAAAATCTCACCATGGCACAGGGGAATCAATCAAATACCAATGTTTCAACAGCAAACCTCATCCCTCCGGTTTCTAGTTTCCCAGCTCTTCAGAGATCTAATCTCAACACAAACTCAAACCCGGTTTCCGATCCATTATCATTGTCACTCAAGCTCTCTTTGCAATCCGATCAAACAGATTCATCGTCTTCAGCTTCAAGGCATACCTCATTTCAGGTTATGTCAAACTTTAGCAATGGAGATAACAATAACATCATCAGCGTCGCGTGAGGATGACATTAGATTATGATAACCAAATCCAGCAAGCTTATTATTAGAGCTTAAATTGGGGATTAGGGAAAATAAAATAAAAAAGAACATAAGTTAAAAATTAGGTTACTGGTTTTCGTTTCCCGTTGTTTTTGATGTACAGACTAAAAGCAGAACAAAACTATTATGTCTATCGTCGTCGTTGTTTTCCGATGCTACTTGTGTTAGATTGTTGCACTTTTAATTTTCAATCTGCTAGTTGATCTTGCATAAATGTTGGTGGTACTTGGATGTTTCTTTTGGTTGCCATGGCTTGGTGTAGGATAATGAAAAGAAAGAAAATATCAAGGTGGACTAGTGGTAGAGATGCAGTAGTTTTTGTTAGATCAGACAACTTTTACATAAACGTGCTGAGTTTCGAGTGTTGTTTATGCTGTCTTGATGCATGAAACAGACATGTTTTTGTTTTGGATTTTAGTGTACTATAAAGATAGGGAAAGGTTGTGGGGATCTTGTTGATAATGCTGTGGATTTTTTTGCATCCGAGGATTTGAAGGCAGAAATGGGTGGTGGTGGTCCTAATATGTTGTCTGGTTTTGTGGTGTCGTGTACTGGTGTTACCTTGGGATCCCTAAGATCATAAGGGGCAAAGGGGTTTTATTTCTATGGCTCAAGATTGTAAGTCTCGATCTACTGATTTGGTTAGATTTGATGATGACACTTCTTGCTGTTAGATTAACAAGTCCGACCGGTTATCGGTGGTTGAATCGATCGTTAGCAATTATCGAAGACTCTATCGAAATCGTTACTGCTGCCGGTGATTTTAGGGCAAAATGATCACAGAGTAAATGAAGCCCATAAAATAACCTTTTTCATGCAACATATTTTCATTTTTTGTACTACATGTTGCCATAGCGTGTGAATTTCACTTTCTATGAATAGAGTCGTAGAATAAGGCTACATCCAATGGGTTTGGTTTGGTTTGGTAACTTTACGTTGAAGAAATTTCGTGAGATTTCTAATCATCACTATTTAATTAATTAACCGAATAATTTAACTAAAATATTATAAAAATTATTTAAAGAATAGTACTTTTAGTTTAATTTATGTTTATTAATAATATTAATATTTGAATTCTTGACTAATATTTACTGAGTGAAGTGGGTTGGGTAATTATTATAGAATTGATGCACGCACCTTTTGGAAAACAATGGTTAATGATGGAAGTATAGGGTTCCATGTTGCCTAATCAGCCAATTTGATAAACACATGATTAACAATGTAATTATTAGCCCAAAGAAACTTATAATTAAAGAGATACTCGTTGTCCCCTTCACCCTTTATTTTATTTATTTATTTTAGTTGGTTGAAAAGAAAAAAAAATAGATTGGTCCCATTAGCTGGTTCGATCATATACCCAAAGTCCATGATTCGGTATGATGTTATATAAAGATTCCAAGGACGAATTCAGGAAAATAAATAGTGGGACGATAGATATTTTCTTGGATAGATTACGAGTTTAGTATTTAATACTTAAGTTTTTAAATTTTTAAAATTATATATAAAGTTTAGTTTTTATTTCATTTTAATAACAAGCCATTAAACGTGTTTAGTATTTAAACTATCAGTTTTATTCCGTTTTAGTACCTAAACTTCTATTTTTTTTTATAAAACTTAATGTTAAATTTTGAACGGGACACTAAAATGAAATAAAAAATGAACTTTAGATATGATTTTGAAAAATTAAAAGTTTAGGTACTAAAATTAACTAAAATTAATAGTTTAAGTACTAAACCAAAATTTACCCTATTTTCTTTTGTAATGAAATGCTGTGAATAGAATAAATTTGATCATGAAAATTGTTTTTATGGTAGGTTCTAGATCATATCTAATTAAACTTGACGTTGTCTTTTTATATAAATATTTATTTGATTATTTTTTATCTATTTTTATTTTTAAATTCTTAGGTTAATATATAATAATCTCATATATTTATGTTTGACTTATGATAAAATTAGTTGTTAAATATTTATCATTATATTCATTTGTATATTAGTATTGATGATACTTATCTTTCATATAGTATTGAAAATATTTATCTTTCACAGTCGATACTACTATTTTTTGTACAGTAGAAACTCTTTAAATTAATACTCGGTAAATTAATAAACTCTCTAAAATAATAAATTTGTCCGGTCCCGACTTGGCCAATGTAAAAAATTGAAAAACTCGATAAAATAATAAGATAATAATTTTTCGTGAGATCCCTTTATAATTTTTAGTCCCAAGAAAATCATAAATTAATAATTCATAGAAATTGAAAAAAATATATTACACTCTATTGAAATATGATTCAACAGTTATCTGTTTTCCTTTAAAGTTCAAGTCTATTTGGAGCTCATCTCTAACTTTTCTTATTGCATCCAATAGCTCAGGTGTTGTATTTTTGTATTGTATCATAAAGTTGTGAAGAGTGTTCGACGCCATAAGTGCTTCCTTTCGCGTAACAGGCTCCAAAGACACCGTATCATCTTCGCCGTCATCCTCTGCATTGTTCTCAATGATAGTACCCACAATATCTTTTAAACTCTGAACCTCCGAACATGCTTCATTTTCACCTGGGTAGTTCATTAGATTGTTGATATCCATCTTATTACGATAGCCACATTGATTGATCATAGTCTCGAGGTCTTGAGTTTCTTCATCAAAAGTGGATTCATCCAAATTTCTTGTAATGTCACTAGCTGAACGAATTTTACAGTGTCGGAAGCAATTCACTATTGTTTCTTTTCGAACATCTATCATCCAAGCTGGGATTGCCAAATTGATAGCATCAAGGACATTTATCTTCCCTGGATCAGATTGTCCCACCTCATAACCTTCCAATATTTTGCGGTAAAACCTTCTACGGTAATACATCTTGAAAGCTCTTATTATCCCAGCATCACAAGGTTGAATCTTTGATGTCATGTTGGGTGGAAAGAAGAACAACTCAACGTTTCTTAGCCCTTCAATATTTCTTGGATGTGCTGGACAATTATCCACTACAAGTAGAACTCTTCTACCATGCATCATTTGGTCAAATGAACGAACATATTCATCAAAAAGCACACTAGTTATCCATTCTTTTTTGTTAGCTCGATACTGACAATCCAAGCTATTCATGTTGACATTCTTGAAGCAACGAGGCTTTGCATATTTCCCAATAATCCATAGAGGGATTTTTTCAGAGCCATCTTCATTGCAACAAATAACTGCCGTCAGCCTTTCTTTATCTTGTTTTCTTCCTTCAAGTTATTTTCTTGCCAGTGAATGATCAGCTTGTAGCCTATAAAACAACCCAGTTTCATCCATATTGAAAACATCTTTCATAGGGAACTGATCAATTTTCTCCCGAATCGATACCAATTTATGCTCCATGTCTTGTACATCAACAGACCCACTCTCGCCAAAACGACGAAATGACTTTATGCCATGTCGTGCTTGAATTTCCCAAGCCATCCTATAGAGAAGTTAAAATCTGAATCATCATGAGGGTACACGAGTTTCATTGTATCTCTTGCCTTCTGCAAAATTAATTCTACTGTGATATTCACACGTTCTTGATGCTGGAGAAACCACTCATAAACAACCTTCTCTATGTCAAGATATTTTGTTGGTTTGTGTCTTTTGATCTCTGTTCTTCCCTTTTCTATTTCAGCAGAGAGATAATCATCTGACCGCTGAAGTGTGTTTGATATTGTTCCTTGACTAACTTTCAACTGAAATTTTCCCTCAAGCCATCTCTGCAAGTCTTTTTGTGTGCTTGCAGGATTATCTCTCTTGTACTCACACAACTCCTTATGTATTTGATCTGACATAGTTGATTTTGCAACACCTTTTAGATGAGAAGCCATCTTGTGAGATATTGTTTGAATACTCTAACACATTCATGTAATTTATATATGCCAAACTTGCTTAAGAATACATTGAACACATTTGTTCCTCTTGTTTACATTTACTGTACTTCAAAAGTCATTATTGATTTCCAATGCATATGAACACAGTAGTTACTAATTTACGTTGAGTCCCAAGGTTCGCTGCAACGTAATTCTAAGAGGCATAGACTAATTTGTCTTTTTGTTTGGTATGTACATTATAATTACTTAAAAACTCTTTAAATTAATAATTAATAATTTATCGATAAATTAATAACTCTCTAAATTAATAAATTCTCGGTCCTGACATTATTAATTTATAGAGTTTTAACTTTATATTCTATTTTCTTGAATTGTTTAATTGATAATATATATCTATATTATGGTTAGATAAAGTCAAAAAACCGGAACAAATCATTGCCATAATATTATAAAGAATTATAATAAAATTAGTACAGAAACTCGAATAACTCGACTCGAAAAAATTTCAAGTTAAGTTCGAGTTGTAAAATACGACTCGTCAACTCGAATAACTTGAAATTTGTTTACTCGACTCGATTGAATTCTCACACCTACTTGACATCTTAACAATATATATAGTTATGATCCACTTATACTAGGTTAAACTAATAGTTTTACACTAATTTATAATCATTAGATTTAAGTAAATAAATAAATGACTCATTTAATTAAAATTTATAACCCAAAAATAAATTTTTCTTAACTTACAGTAAAATAATATTTTTTTTCCTTTTAAAATTAGGGTTTAATATTTAAATTTTAGGATTTAGGGTTTAGAGTTTAGAATTAGGATTTAGGGTTTGCAATTCAAGATTTAGAGTTTAGGATTTGAGATTGGGGTAAAAAATATTATTTTACTGTGAGTTAAAAAATATTTATCTAAAAGTTATAAATTTTAATTAAATATAATAATTATAATTTAGTGTAAGACTTATTAATTTTATATACAGTATGTGAATTCATACTTCACACACGCACGCACACTAATCAACGGTTGATCATCGTAATGATAGATGCCAAAACACCAAAAAATGAAATTCAACACGTACACATGTATATATGAAGGTGGCTACTACTTTCTTCTTAATGGTGTGGGAGCGGGAGGAGGTGGCAGTATATAGGGTGCAAGCTTTCCTGCTTCAGCCAAATTGCTTCGGTTCTTCTCATGCACCTTCTTTATATATGCAGCGAATTTTCCGTCACCGTCGTCTGGTTTTCCTCCGCGAACCACCAGCGATTCGTTCCCTCCGTTCGCCGGCTGCATCACGAACGAATATGGCTTCGACCAACTCTGCAACTTCTCCGACATCCCGGAAGATCGAGGCGGCC